TCCGTCCGGTATCGGACCCCCTGGGCGCCGGTTGCTAGGGCCCAGCGGCTGCTGGTGGTCAGCCAACACAGCCAGGCCAGCACTCAGGCGGGCCTGCACTGCCCGGCCGGTGCTTGGCACCGCTGCCCGCCCCAGCCCAGTCGCTCGGAGCCCGACTTTGGCCCAGGTCACACCGTGTGGCCTAACCCCGGCCGTACCGTCACCGTGTCATGGCGTGGCGGCACCATCCCGTACCATAAGCGCCTTGAACTCGAGGGCTTGCGGTGCGGGTGGGGCCGTCCCGGCGCTGTCAGAGGCCGTACCGTACATGGCTCTACAGCCCTACAAACTCCCCGACATCCATCCTCAGGGTCGACATGCTGACACTAACGGACAAACAACTAGCATCCACCAAGGATGACTGCAGCAACCTGACTGAGTGATACACAGCCACGCACTCGCGATCACGCTCTGCGGTTCGTGTGCTCAACGTCCAGCGTGGGAACATTGCGTAACTAGTCCCAGGGTTAACACTCCAGGCCCTTGCCAATATGGCAGGGCTGACCAGCCCCTAGAAAAGGTGGGTGTTCCATGCTCGCCGTAAGTCACACAAGGTGGTAGAGGTTGCGTAGAGGTGTTGAATGGATCGCCAAGACATCTTGGTACTGTGGGGGGCGATGATCAAACATGATTGATGCATGTAGATCGCAGGCGAAGCTTGCGTTTAGTCGATGGAAGGCTACCATATAGGCATCGGGCCATGGCAATAGCTCACTCGGTGCCACCCGGTAAGGCGCCCGAGGTGTCCCACACCCGCCCACGCCACACCCACACCATCACAGGCATGCACGCCTGTTGGCGCAGGCCCACGCCATTTGGCCACGCCCATGTGCGAAGTCTCTTCTGAATGCGAACTAAACCAGGTTGAACCTGAATGCCAAGTTTGATTCAAAGTTCAAGCTGGGGCCAAACCTGAACCGAAGTTCAGGTTTGGTGTTTGGAACAAAGGACTTGAACTTGAACTGAACTGAACTGAACTTTGCTATCTCCATTAGGTGACTTTTCTTTCGGAAGTACAGTCTTCAGTCAATACATTCAACAACTGGACTAAATTTTGAGCTGAGTAAGAGTGAGTTGAATACTAGATTATAGTATATTCAGAGACCCTTCCAGCCATACCAGAACCATTCTGGAAGCTCAAAAAATGACTGAGATAAACTCTTCTGACAAGCCCAAGTGAGATTTTTGGCCAGGTAAAAGTGAGCTGAATGCTAGATTCAGAGGCCTTTAGGATACAGCCCTAATACTGTTTTGAAGTTATAGAGTAATAGCCTATAAGTTGCACTAACAAAAGTCAATAGATTTGTAGTCAATAAAAGTGAGTTCAATGCCAAGTTAAAACCTCTCTAATGATATATAATTGATATCAAAATAATAAAGCGGAAATCTTAACAGAGTTCATAGATTGAATACTTATTTAGCAGTTAGTAGCTGCCATAAGTGGTATTGACAAAAGTCAATAGATTTGTGGTCAGTGAAAGTGAGTTGAAACCTTGACAGAGTTGATTATCATTAGAAATTGAATACTCACTCAGCAGTGAAGGAGTATTTTGTAGTCAAAGTTTGGTATACAATCAAAGACCAGTTTGTAGGCCTATTGGACATTTGTGCATATATATGACAGATTCCAAATGGTCATTAGAGGTACAAGCCCAATACTGTTTTGAACCTAGTCATTGACTGTTATAAAAGTCAGTTAGTCTTGCCTTTCAATACCTTTCTGACCATATAGGAACCTCAGTAATGAGCCTAATACTGCTTTGAAGTCATTTGATTGAAATTCTGTGAATGTATAGTTGAAAGCAAGTTTTAAACTCTTGTGAAGAAGACCTTTATGGTCAAACTAGAAATAAGCTCAACTGCCACAGTATTCTGTAGTAAAAGTTGATAGATGTGTAGTCATGTTGTGTAATCAAGTTTGTAGAACTTTCTCATACCTCTCTGACCATATCAGAATCACTATCAACAAGTCAAAGCTCATTGAAATATAAGCCTTACTGTTTTGAACCTCGCCCCAAAAGACACCTATGATCTTCTACATTTTGTAATCTACCACTTTCATTATAGAATTCTGTCAACTTCCGGGGTAAGTTCAACTGAGAGTTAGCCAAGTTACACTGTTAGGCTAGTTTCAGAGATTGTCAGGTACCAACACATCTCAAAGTAGAGATTTTCAGTACCTTTTCAATGATCTATAAATTATCCCAAATGAATCAGAATTGACTGAGTTATGTTAGTAACAGGAAAAAAGTTCAAATCTGGACTGGCAGTTGCCTTATTGGCTCTTATGCTTCAGTCCCATGTGATAGAGAATTTGAATAGCTTTCTAATGGTATATAAATCATTCCAAACGGATAAGAATTGGCTAAGTTATAACCTAACACTGTTTGAAAGTGGAATTCCATGGATTTCCATCTTAAGTGAAGTTCAACTTAAGGGTTGAACTGGCCCTAAAGTCGGATTTCCGTGGACTTCCACTCAAAAGACACTCGTAATTTTTCACTTTTCTGTGTTTTCTAGCTTAACCATTAACAATTGGGCTTAGCTCCAAACTGAACCAAGTCATAAAATTTGAATATCTACAACTTTCATTAATTGACCCCCGACCCTAAAGTGGAAATCCTTGGATTTCCACCTGGCAATTAGGTTAAAGTCAAGTTTAACTTAGGGATTGAACTACAGTGGAATTCCATGGACCTCCACCTTAAAAGACACTCGTGATTTTTTACATTTCTGTGTTTTCTGGCCTAACCATTGACTATTAGGCTTAGGTCAAAACTGAACCTAGTCATTAATTTTGAATATCTACAACTTTCATCAATTGAGCCGGCCCTAAAGTGGAGTCCATGGATTTCCACCTTAAAAGACACTCGTAATTTTTCACCTTTCTGCATTTTGTGAGCCAACTAGTAACAATTAAGCTTAGGTCAAAACTGAACCTAGTGTTTAATTTGTAACATCTATCACCTCACAAAGCGGGCAGTTATTCTGAAGGCTGGCAGTTAATTACTTCCAAGTATGAACAATCAGGCTTAGGGCCCAGTGGTCAATCTGAACTTGGCAAAGTTGCCGGCCCTAAAGTCCTGGCAGTTAAGTTCAACTAATTATTGAGTCTTTAGGGGCCAGTCTTATATATTTTCTATACTAAGTCATTTATAAGGCTGGCCCTCAAGACTTTAGGGCCAGTCTTTATATTTTTTTATATATAAGTTATTTATAGGGCTGGCCCTAAAGTGTGGGAAAAAGGGAAAAAAAAAATACCCATAGTACAGAAAGAGAAGCCAACATGAGTTGTGAATGCAGGAAGAGTACAATCCCCCAGATGATCCACTTTGTAAGAAGACTTTTGTTATTCTGAACTGTTTTTAGCAGTTTTACTGAGTTGCCAATCAGGTGTAGTGGCTGAATGGGAGGTCACTACTCTCCCATCAGCTTAGTGGCAGTCTTAAGGAAGACTGCCAGACCAAAGATAAAATGCCACAACAAGACAGCTACTAGCAAACCACTGGCGAACACACCATGACCAAGAGATTGAGCTCAGCTCGGAAGGTGTTGAACCAACCTCGCTACCCCTTGGCTTACCACAGCACATCCTATCTCCGCCAATTTAATGAAGCACAGACCAGACTGATCCACTTTCACTGTCTTCCCCCAGAACCCACAACAGGAAGAGCAGGGTCATTGAAGCCAGGCTGCTCTTCCATATATAAGGCAGGCCCACCCCTCAGCCCACCCCAAGTCCAAATTGCGCAAAAGCGTGAAAACCCATGTCCACAATTTCGCGCACTTGGACTCCATGGAAACTCCGCAGTCATGTGGTTGAGGTCACATTTTATTGAAGTAACAATCACAACATCAATCACCACATCAACAACAACTCTTACGGCGCTTACGAGGACCTTCCAGTCGGCCCGCTAGTTGCCGATGCCGATTGATCAAGGCGTAAAGCTGTCAGCACGCCATGACATTGCGCTGATCTCTGGGCGCATCAACTCTGCGGCCCAGTTCCTCCGGCGCCCGGGCCTCTCGTCCGCGCTCTGCCGCTGAAACCAAACCCAATGCTGGGCGCAATGCTGGAATGCGGCCTCATTACTTTGCTGAGCAACACTGTCATGTATACCTACTCCACCGTCGAGCTCAGGCTGCCGCCAAATCAGGAGCAACCATGCAGCGCTGCACAGCTGTTTGGCTCTGATGTAGCGGCACAGGAGGTTCTGCGCCGTGTGGCGTACAGCGCGGTGATCTCTCTGGGCGTGGCAGAGTTCTGGTCCGGCCCTCGCCGCCGTCATATGCGCTGATGCTCCGGCGCGATGATACCACCCTGGCCCACGGTTTCCATTAAGGTGGTGTCTCGTTTTTCTTAACATCTTGTAGCTCAAAAATATATAATATCAGTTCTGGAGGACTGGAATGCTCTAGTAGCATACCGTCGAAGTCTACATAACCTATAGGATTCAGTGGTCCACCAACTATGTTCTATGGTAGAAAACCCACATTCCCTCATAATACATAAGATTTTGTCGGGTTATAAGTTGCCCCAGATGTGAGCGGAATGCGCGCAGGCTCCCACCTGGGTTCTGTACATCGCAGTCAAACTTATCGATTAGTACAGACAGTAAAGGTTTCTGCTTTCATCGAGTTCCGTCTCTGTCCCTCTAATTCGCAATCCTCGTCCTCTGCAACCGGTCCGACAGCTCGTCCATCGCGCTTCACCGCACCCAAGCGCGACACCACACTGCTCGCTGTCGACATGCGCCCCCAGCGCTGGCGTCTGGAAGCGGCGGCTGCACCCGGCCCGCGGCAGATGTACGTCTGCTCCTCGTGGCGCGGGCTCGCGAGTGCTGATTAAGCCCGGGCAGCGTGCGGAACTTGCCGTGGCAGAGGTAGCACTCGTCGCGGTGCCGTTCCAGCTGCGCCCGGTCGCGGCGTAGCGCGTGTTGTCGCTCTCCGCCCCGCGGCGATCAGGCGCCCGGGGGTCGGTGATCACGTTGCGCGTGTCCTGCTGCGGATGTAGCGGTTGGCGACTGCCGGTTCGCGCCCGGCGCGCAGCTGCCCGCCTCGAGATGCGCGGCGGCGGCGGGCCGTTGATGAAGGACTGCCCGCGGCCGCGGCCGGGGCGCGTGATCGTGCGTGGCTTGTGCAGCGCCCGAGTTCATATGCGCGTTGAGGTTGTTTGCGGAGGTGAACAGCCGGCGGCAGGGGGTGCAGTAGTGGTGCCCGCTCGACTGGCGGCAGTGCTCGTGCAGCCCCTGCTCGTTCTTGAACACCCGCTCACCACGAAGAGCAGTAGAAATGTGCGTCGTCCATGTGTTCCGCCAGCTCGCCGCCATCGTCGAAATGCTCGTCGCAGTGCTGGCAGTAGAAGTGTCTGCGGCTCTGGGCGTAGTGCTCCTTCAGCCCCGTCCACGTCGTGTAGTCGATCTCGCAGTCGTCGCCAGAGCCAGTGTGCGCTCGGCGCCCGCTCGTGCTGCGCGAGGGCACCGTGGTGAGGGAATAGCGGTCGCAGCGGTCGCAATACACCGTCATAACGCTAATGTTCTTTGTAAGTCCGGTCACGTGTGGGCCCGCACGCAGAGAAGCGCACCCTTGTCCCAGAAATTAAACTTGGATCTTCGGTGGTGGTGGTACGGCGACATGAGTGTCCCGCGCCCGTGAGGAACGTCACGGTGTTTTGAATCGAGGCTGATGTCGTTACCTGCGTAACCGATATGCTTTAGGCGGAAATGCGCTGCGAAAGGGGCCACGCGCCTTTGTTCCAAGCACTTATGCTACTGCCGAATGTTCTAGCAACAAGTTCTATAGCCAATGACCAATGTCCGGGGCAAACCTCGCTTGCTCAGCGTCGGCCTGTTCGAAACCGATGCATGGCCCCGCATTCAACGTGTCCTGGGCATCTCCCTAGATATATACATACTTATAGGTGAGCATGATCGAGTCCCGTGGAACAGGGTAAAGAGCATATAAAGAGGCATCGGCGCGAATCCGGAGGGACAAACAGACCCGCAGGGCTGGTCCCAAGCGGCACCCGCGTTTTTGGGAAGTGACAGACTTTACAGTGCTGTACAAGGTTGCGAATACCACCGGACTCGGAATACGGGTCAGCCATACTAGTAGATTTTTCATACTTGGCGTCGTTCCTCCAGAATCAGCGTCGGCACTTGCGCGAATCGTCATTCGCAGCCCCGGAAGCATCGCAGGCGAGCTCCCCGCCTTCGAACAAGCCACCATCGCACGTCAACCCCTGCCCAAAGCGCACTTCCGCCGTCGCCATGTCCCCCCGGCGAAGTCGAGTCGGCGATGAAATGGCGTCCGGCGGGAGCCCTACACTCGTCGATATGGGTCCAAACAAATTGAGCGTGTCATATAGGTCATGTAGCAGGCGGAGGTACGGTCGAAAGAGGCCCAAGGTAAGCGGGTGAAAAGCAGGAGCTGCATAGCGCTTTGTGTGACCACGACTCGGAGGGAAAGTCGAGTGTGGCGTTCGCGGAGAGTAACGCGCATTTTCGTGAGATGCTCGTGAATGAGGGGGTATGCCGGAGGCGTTATTCGAGGACCGACGGATGGAGGGGAATGACCAGAGGATTGGGAGCGCAGTTAGCCCTTTTGCCGCCCCGGTCGTCGCGGCGAGAATGGTGAGCATTATCATCCGGGACTCTGAAGACAGCCCATAAGGCCTTTGAGCACTCCAAGGCACCACCAGCGCTCGTCAAATTCGGCCCAAAGCCCACTTCCAAATCCACCATGTCCCCCACGGCGAAGTCAAGGCGCCAGATGAAATGGCGCTCAGCGAGAGCCTTGTATCAGGTCCGAAAGAATTAAGCGTGTCATATCGGCCGGGTATTGGAAGGAGGTAGGGTCGATAGAGGGCGAAGACCAAAGGGCGAAGAGCTGCATATCGCTTTCGCGGAGAGTGACGTCGTCACGTGTGACAGTGGCTGTGTCGAAATTTTTCGAGGAAAGAAAGTCGTTCGGATGGCGCGTTGGTGGAGAATGTCACATTGTGTAGTTGATTAAGAGCTTTGAAGGAGTCTATGGTAGACGGAGGTGCATATGGCGGGCGGTTAGTCGAAGGCAATGGTGCTCGTTTTTCAAGTTTATCGAGAAGCAGGTCGCTTGAGAGTTTCTGGGACAGAGAGGCGGGGTTGTCGGCGGTTTTTCCCCTACATGAAGAGTGTCACCATGAGGAGTGAGCTAGAACAGCAAACGCACCATTATCCGCCGCCTCTGTTTGTTCCTTCGGTTTTTTCTTTCTTAGAGGTTCCGAAATCCACTGAGTCGGCAGAGTATATTAGAAGAAGAGGACACGGGAAGTCGCGCTTGTTGGCGAGGATATGCGGAAGTCGCTGCAGCTGAATTCCAAACGATAGGTGTACTAGACGAAAAGCCAGATTTGTCAGACCGACTCGAAAAGAGGCTTGCTTGGACGCACCCGGTTTTCCTTCCGTGTCACGCTAATCTTTTAAAGAGCCCTCAACCTCCTTTTGAATCGAAGGCGTTCCCTCGATGGAAGAGCCCCGCTAGCGGGAAGTGATTGCTTTCGGGGGAGTCGAGAGGGAGTAACCAGGATGGCGAAAGAGGATTATTGCATCGGTTCTCATTGAAGGAGTGGGGGAACGGATGCATCTGGGCATGCCCAGCTGAGAATTGAAGGGGCTTGACCCGCTGAGACCGTCGCGTTGGCTCGAGATGGAGTCGCGGAAAAGCGGGGAAAGCATGGGGGGGGCCGAGCCCAGCTGATAGCTACGGGGGAAGAGTGAGACGGACATGACGCAAGAAGAGCATGAAAAAACACACCCGTCATCCCTCTTCTTTGCCAGCGCGCAGTCCGCCCACCTCTTCACCTGCAGCCCCACCTGAGCGTCTGGCTCCCAGCGCTGCACAAGAAGAAGGGCCCTCTGAGCAGGTTCTTGCTCCCACTACCCGCTGCCCGCTTTCCTGCTTGCGCGGTCAATGACGTCGGCGATGCCGCTCGGCCCGCTCCAGCGCTACAACGAAGAAGCATCCACTCGGCCCACATCTACGCTCCGCCCCAGCATCATCTCCCCTCCTCGTCGGTGCATGCGCGCGTTGTGGTGAAGGAGCAAAACTTCATCATCATGAGGCTGTGTGGGAACCCGCCCGGCCCTCGGCGCCGCATGCCGGATTTTTGTCAGCGTGCTTCTTTTTTATCAACCACCACATGCTCACCGCTGGAACCCCGTCTCCCGTGCCTTGCTGCTCAGGCGCGTCATCAACTCTTTGACTGGGGGCATCCTGCAGCTCCCCTGGCCATTTCTCGCCCGGTGGATCGCCATCCGCTGTCAAAATCCTCAAGACCATGTACCGCTGTTGTCGCCAGTCTCACGGACGACTCCAAAGCCGTCCTTCGCGCGAACTGAGGCCCTCCTGCCGAGTTGCTTTCGTTTCTGCTGCCCTCTTCGCGGCCCCGGACGCCCGCGGCTTACTCCGAGTCAAAACTCCTCAACGCACAGCAAGGAAGACTCTGGGCGAAACAACGCGGGAGTTGTGGGGCCAAACTTCACGAAAACGCGCCATCGGGGCGGTCGACTGGCGCGAAACCCGCTACGCGCGAGCTGGGCCACTCCCTCTTCGTTGCGGTCGACTTTTGCGGCGATCTCCCCGCTCCGGGCCAGCGCAAGGCGCGACTATGGCCGACTCTTGGCCGCTTCGCCCAGAAATCGCCCCGGACCGCGTTCTCAACGTCCAGGGAGACTCTAGAGGCTGGATATATCTGTCTCGGCGCGTCTCCACGGTCTGCCACAGTCCATGGAGGCCGTCGTCGCTGTTGTCCGCGTTGAGCGCAAGGTCGGTGAGCGCCGAGCGCATTCGTCGCTCGTTCTGTCTGAAATCTTCATCGCAGGTAGCGCCAATCCAGTCCTCGTCTTCCTGAAGTTTTCAGGCCTAGGGCGAATAGCGAAGCGGGTGGGTCTGCGCGGGCGGGTTTCTGTTGCGCGAAACCCGAGGACGGCGGGCCGAGTTCTTGCTCGTGACGTCTGATACCAACAGGGTGGGGAGCACCAATATATCCTCCGTCCTCTCGAAACTCCAGGCGGAACGGGCCAGCGCCTGGCCCGGCCGGGGTTTTCCGAAGGCAGCCGCGTCCCGGCCCGCCTCGCGCGCGTTTAGTCTAGGAAGGAAGCCGCGGGCAGCGGCGCTAGGTGCGCCCATCTCCAACGAATCCCAAGCCAGACGACCCAGTTGTCGTGCTGCATCGCGCCGTCTCGTCTAGGTCGGTAACTCAGTCTTCTGCTGAATTCAAAGGCTGAATTCAAACAACTATAAGTGACTTTGACTCCAAAGCCATCCTTGGCGCGAACTGGGGCCCATCCTGCCCACTCCCCTTCCCTTTCGTCTCTCCTGCCTTCATCGCGGCCCCGGATGACCACGGCTTGCTCAAACTCTGGACGAAGAAGTTGCACCTACAACTCGGGAGTTCGGGGGCCAAATTTCACAAAAGCGCACCGTATCAGGGCGGTCTACTGGCGCGAAACTCGCGACGCGCAAGGCACGCCACTCATTCTTCACGGCCACAGCTGTCTCGGCGTCTCCTCAGTCGATGGAGGCCATCGTCGCTGCTGTGCGCGAGATCGGTGAGCGCCAAGCACATTTGCTACTCGTTAGGGTTAGGTTAGCGCCATTCTGGCCCTCCTGTTCCTGAAATTTACAAGGGGAACGGGGCAGCGGCTCGCTCGGCGCGGAGCGAACTCTGTCGCGCGAAACTCGAGGGTGGTGGGTCCAGTTCTCGTTCGTTCCGCCTGATACACACAGGGCGGGGAGGACAAATATGTCTCTCCATCTTCTACAAGTTCCAAGCGGGCGCCTGGCTCTGCGCGGCCGTCTCCAGCGAATCCCAAGGGAAACGACCCAGCCGTCGTCCTGCCTCGCGCCGTCCCATCTCGGTGAGTGACCTCCGTCCTCTGCTGAATTCGAAGGCTGATTGCAATATGACGCACATTCTGCGCCATTGTCCCGCGCTCCTCGTCCTTCGATCACGCCGGCATGCGGCTGCGTTGTGTGCACGCGTTGCCCCGCGTTCCGACACTGCCCCAGGGCCAGCGGGCCGTGGACTCACAAGTGGAACGGATCACTGGCAGCGGCTGGCCCGCGCGATCAAAGGCGCAATTACGCCGTCCTGCCGCGCAGCCGGCCTTCCGCTACACCTCATCGGTATAAACGGCGCATGGAGCTGGGGAGACATACCGCTACCCCGCCAGCGAACCCGCCCGTATCCCTCAACGCGCTGCTGGAGCAGTACACAAGGTCTTCCAGAGGGAAGACATCCCTGCCGATCGAGCCGAAACTCGGCCAGAGGGCGCGGAAGGCATGGAGG